GCATGTAAATGAAACCCTTGCTCTCAAACTACTGAAAGTATTAACGGGGTGTATGATAATATTACTCTTACCACCAGGGAATGACCCCAAGTAATGCGTGACGAAACTGGAAGATCATGTGTCAGAGTTACCAAGTATCAAACGTGCTTCTTTATTTAGGTGCTTCTTCTGCCTTGCATAAAAATCAAAACCTGAACTTTAATGCTCAGATTGACATTGGATGACTTAGACCAAAAATATTTGTTAAAAAGTGGCACGTGAACAGGAATTAGGCCATATCCAAGTCACAGAGTCTCTGACTCAGGTGTGGAATGAAATGTGCTTTCTCTCGGACACACACATACCCGCAAATAGTGTGCATTCGCTTTCACATATTAGCACAGTGGCAAACAAATGCTTGAGCCATACCAGGGAAATGCTTTCGTGCCTTAAACAATTGGACAGTTCACAGGATCAGTGGCGTATTTCTGACTCATAGCTGTGGTTTACTGCCTTGCTGAAAGGCAGCATTTGAGACTTGGTCTAGGAATCTTGGCATATTTTGTATTGTGTCTTTCACACTGTTCTGGGACCAACTTCCTTTTTCTTTATGAGCATGGAAAATGCTAGAAACGATCCCAGATCAGCCTTTAGTAAATACTAAAGCAGGGTTGGCTATGGGAAAGAGGCAATTAATCCATCCTCACTGTTGATAGAATCAGCGTTCTGGCGATTCTGTACACCTGCGCCTTGCTTCAATCTGGGGTCGACAGATGGTTGAGCCAAAGCCCTAGACCGGATACAGGCAGGTCTCTGAGTCACCAGCCAAACTTTCAATGAGACATGTCACTGGAAAGCGACGTAAAGGGAAGAGTCCATTGTCATTGCTGGTTGCTGACATGCTGTTGACAGCTGCATGACTGCGCATCTGCTGAGGCAGACCTGCCAGGAAAGTGTCTATGAGTCTGGCTTTGGATAGAATTAGGGAGAAAAAAAAGTTCGGCAAACGGTGGGATCGAACCCAGGTCGATCGTGTCAAAAAGCCAACGACACATGCTTATCCATCTGCGCCACTGGAGCTGATGATTTACAGCCACTTTTAACTAAATGTAAACACACACTCCATATTTTTTATTCCATAGTAAGGGCAATTCATACAATACATTTAAACTGAGCTACTTTAATACCATCTCCGAACTTTCTACCGCGACTCTGCTGTTCTTCAGCTGGTTCTTCCCTGTATAAGTTGATTGACAGATGTCTCGTCCAGTCAGCGGTGAGTAATCCCAAACCAATGGCGCTGTCTCAAACTATACCTACCTCTTCCGGTTTGTCTGATTTGTCGTTGTGTTTTCTGACTTGTTAATTTGTTTTCGGATTTGTCGTTGTGTTTTCTGACTTGTTATTTTGTTTTCAAATTTGTCATTGTGTTTTCTGACTTGTTATAATGTTTTCTGAATTGTTGTTGTGCTTTCTGAATTGTTATTTTGTTTTTTAGACTTGCATTTGCGTTTGTAATTTGTTATTTTGTTTTCAGAATTGTGATTTGTTTTGCACTTCACGGCCACCGTAGTATACTGATGAAATAATAAAAATGATTTAAGTATAATTATCTTAAAGTAGGCTGTGACAGAAAAAAATCTTGAAGCCTTTTACTGTGTGTATGTGTATATATATATATATATATATATGTGTGTGTGTGTGTATTATTATATATAGTACACACACATAATATCTGTCTCATCATTTCCAAATGACACCATAAATTAGGCTCATAATATGTTTTTAGTAAATGGCAAAGGGACTTGTGCTTTCCAAGTTGGAAGAAATTCAGCTCTTTCTGTCAATACCCTTATGTGTTACTCTCCCGCCCAATCAGGGTCATCAAATGACAGGGCTTTACCCCTCTGAGGTCGTGAGAAGTGCGTCTGGCCAAAAAATTCTATTCAATATGCTAACTGTGCAGCTCTGGGTGTGAATATGTTTGGACTGGTCATTTTGTGGTTAATATATTTTGGCGTGTCTGAATTGTGTTTTACGTGCTTGGCTGAAGTGGGGTTTGGCTTAAAGTGAACATATTTGTCTGCTGTTCAGATGCCACAGAGGCCTTATGATAGATGCCTGGCTTTGACAAGACTCAAGACAATTAGTCTTTCTTGCAGCCAGATGACAAAAATAAATTAGATTAACTTTTACAAAAACACTAAGTTACATAATTAAATTTTTTGGGCTGTTAAATATCTCTCTTTTTTTTAAATTATCACATTTTTCTGTGAATTCATTATAAATGAATAATACAAAAATCCCCAAAATAAAGATAAAATGTCACTGGAATGAAGAAGAGGAAGCAAAGACATTATTGCATATTTAATATATATATAAAAATACATTCAAATATATTTAAAATATTTTCATTTAAAATACTAGTTTTATTATTACATTAAATAAATTACGGTTTTAAAAAGTGTTAATGCTTCGTTTTTTTAAAAACGCATTATTTTTCACATAATTTACCTTTATTCCACACCTCTCTGTCCCTTCTCTGAGAAACGGGGTGATCATTTCCTTCTTTTATGAAGCCCCTCCCTCAGAAATAGGCGATGGGCTCTGATTGGTTAGCTAGCCCAGTGTGTTGTGATTGTATGTTAGCTTTTAATATACGGTTTTATCCTGATTAAAGCTTTAATACAGTACGGCAACCGTGTGCGCATCCATGTTTAACGATTCTCATAGCTATGTGAAAATAAGTGTAGATTTGTAACAGTTCATTGTTGGAGGTGAGCTGAATGAGAGAGAGAGAGAGATGTAAAGCGTGTGCAGAGCAGGGGGACGCAAGGAACAGTATTAAGAACCGCTTCTTTAGAACATTGATTTTGAAACTTGTGAATCCATTAGAATCTTTAGAAGACCGAATCATGATTCATATATGAATAGATTTTTACGTGCAGCTCTAGTTTTCTCTTCCTCTCTAAAGCCACATCTTGGCCTCGCCCCCTTTGCTGCCTTTTCCCGAGGGCGGGGTTTATCTGGGTTTGTGATGTCACGAACCCG